ATTTGGAGTTGGTGAAGTCACGGCTAGGCGTTGGTGAAGTCATGCATGAACAATGTCAAACTGCAAATATATCATCACTCTTCCATCTGTTCTTTAATAAAAACAGAAACTAACCAATCAAAACAAACCTAGCATGCAGCATAACCTATTTAACAAAAAGAAACATAAACGTAATTAATACAGCAGCATAACAATAGAATAGCAGCAGCAGAAACAGAACCTAGCAGTTTGACAGAACCTAATTTCATAAAACAAAAATTAATTTAGCAAAACAAAACCGCCAAGGACAGAACCAAATAATCACAACAGTATAATTTAACAGAATAACCTAATTGGTAGCAGCCCTAATTAGAATAATTTAACAGAAGAACCTAAATGCTAGCAGCCCTAATTTATATAATGAAACTAACAGTTCATAATTTCTTTGTCAATTTCAAATAATCATAACAACACAGCATAACCTAATTGGTGGCAGCCTAATTCGATAACCCTAAAACCTTAACTGAAAAAATATATCATCACATCAACCTCAACCACCAAATCGACAAGCCTAATTTAAAAGAAAAAAACCATAAATTGAACTTAGAATAAACCCTAACATTTTGAGGGATCTGCTGCAAGCAGTCTCACAAGAATCTTTTTTGGCCAATCACATGACGCCACGTGTAACATATATATATTTAAATATTGATCGGTTCGGTTCAAGTTCACCGGTTCTGAAAAAATTAGAACCGAGAGCCAAACCGTGGACCTTCGATTCGGTTCAGGTCCATGGTTGACTTTTTCGATTTAGTAAAAAAAAACTCTTTTTTGATTTGGTTCGGTTTGGTTCGGTCGGTTTGATCGATTTATTGGTTTTTATGCCCACCCATAGTTGGTGGCTTTCTGGTATTTATGGTCCTTGCAAGCAGAGGGACATGAGAAGTTTCTAGGAAGAGATGGCGGACCTTTACGGTCTGTGCGGAGACAATTGGTGTTTGGGAGGGAATTTTAACGTGGTTAGATTCAATTATGAGAAATCTAATGGTGGAAGAGAGACAGCGAGTATGCGTGATTTTAATGGTTTCATACAGGAAACCAATCTGCACGACCCTTGTCTACTAAATGCCTCTTTCACCTGGTCTAATCTCAGAGTGGGAGCTGTATGCAGGCGGCTTGACAGATTTTAATTCTCGGTAGGTTGGGAGAATTTATTTCCCTCAGTTCGGCATAAGGCTTTGCCTAGGATTTTTTCTGACCACTGCCCTATTGAGTTGGATACTTTTACAATAAAATGGGGCCCAGGGCCTTTTCGACTTGAGAATTCTTGGCTGGAGCATCCGGACTTCAAGAGAATCCTTAAAGACTGGTGGAAGGAAGACCAACTCTATGGCTGGGAAGGCTACAAATTTATGAGCAGACTCAAGTTGCTAAAAACTAAGATGAAACTGTGGAGCAAAGAGGTGATCAGAGATATGGAGACTGCTAAGAGGGAGACTGAAGCTAGATTGGCGGCCATTGATATGCAAGAGTGGCGGGATGGTTTGGACAGTGAGTTGAGAAAAGAAAGGGAGGATCTTCAACTTTTGGTGGTGGACATTATTTATAAAGAAGAAGTGAAATGGAGACAGAGAGGCAAAGTTAAGTGGGCAAGGAATAGAGACGAAAATACCAAGTTTTTTCATATGATGGCCACAGGTTATAGGAAAAGAAACTACATTGAGCGGTTGGAGAAGAAGGATGGTATTATTATTGAGAACGAAAACGAGATTGAGTCGGAGGCAATTAATTTTTTTACGAACCTTTATAGTAGCAATGACGAAGTGGGGTGGGGAGTGGAAGGTCTAAATTGGTACCCTATTAGCTCCGAGATGGCAGCTTGGATCAAGAGGCCCTTTGAAGAGGTGGAGGTTCGTAATGCTATGTTCGATTGTGGGAAAGATAAGTCTCCCGGAGCTGATGGGTTCACTTTATTTTTCTTTCAATCTTGCTGGGATATTGTCAAAGGTGATCTTATGAAGGTAATGGAGGATTTCTATAATTCAGGGATTATCAATGCGGTTATTAATGAAACCTTAATCTGTCTAATCCCCAAGAAGAATGATTCAGCCAAGCTTAGGGATTTTAGGCCAATAAGTTTGGTGACGAGCTTATATAAGGTGGTGTCTAAAGTTCTAGCTACAAGACTGAGAGAGGTGCTGGACAATACAATTTATGCTACTCAGGGAGCTTTCGTGAAAAATAGGCATATTTTGGATACGATTTTAGTAGCTAATGAGGTTGTCCAGGAAGCCATGAATTTGAATAAGTTGGGATTGGTCTTTAAGATTGATTTTGACCATGCTTTGATCATGTAGAATGGAAATTGGTCGACAAGGTAATGGATAGGAAGGGTTTCAGTGGGAGATAGAGAAGGTGGATTAGGGGCTGTTTACAATCTGCCAATTTTTCTGTCATGATCAATGGCCGACCGAGGGGCAAATTTACGGCGACTAGAGGTGTGAGACAAGGGGATCCGATACCCCCCTTCTTGTTCACTCTAATTATTGATGTTTTGAGTAGGCTAATGGAGAAGGCTCAAGAGCATAATTTTATTCATGGTCTGTTTACTGGGAGGGACAGAGTGGAGGTTTCTCATCTCCAATTCGTTGATTATACTATTTTTCTGATCGGGGATAAAGAGAGTATTGGTTTAATCTTTTGGACTTACTGGATTTTTTTGCCTGGTTTCCGACATGAAAATCAATAAATCTAAGTGTTCTCTTGTGGGGATTGGGTGAAACTCTTCTTACCTCAATCGCCTTGCTGGTGGTTGGGGGTGTGAGGTGGGGGATTGGCCTATAAAGTATTTAGGTCTTCCCCTTGGTGGTAATCCAAGAGCGATTGATTTCTGGGACCCAGTGTTGGAGAAGATTCAAAGGAGACTTCAAAAATGGAAAAGAGCGTTTCTTTCAAGAGGGGGTAGGTTAACTTTGATTCAAGCAGTGTTGAGTAGTATTCCTACCTATTATATGTCTTTGTTTAAAATGTCGGCCAGTGTTGCTAACAAAATGGAGAAGCTTATGAGATCCTTTTTATGGGAAGGTGTGGAGGAAGGAAAGAGGGATCATTTGGTTAGATGGGAGCGGGTGGCTAATTCTAAGGAGGAAGGAGGGCTTGGAGTGAGTTCTTTGAAGGAAAAGAACAAGGCTTTGCGCGCTAAATGGTTATGGCATCTCCCTATGGAACCTAATTCCCTGTGGGCTTTGGTGGTCAAAAGCAAGTGTGGGTTAGCCACTAATGGATGGGATACTAATCCAGCTATTACGGTTACCTCTCTTTACCCTTGGAAGGACATTTTAGCTGGTTATCAAACCTTTTTACAGTGCTGCAGATTCGAGGTGGGAAACGGGAATAAGGTTAGATTTTGGAAGGACAGTTGGGTGAGGGAGGGGGTGTTAAAGGACATTTTTCCGCACTTGTTCGCGCTATTCGCAAAGCAGACCTTAAGCAGTAACTGGTTTGCTGATCCTCAGGTTTTACCTCATAATTAGGACTACAAGTTTAGGAGGAATCTGAATGGAAGGGAGACTGCCGAGGTGATTAAGTTGCTGGAAATAATGGAAGGCATCAGATTGTGTGCTACTAAAAGGGATAGGAGAAGATGGGATCTAGAGGATTCTGGATCTTTCACATGCAAGTCTTTTCAATCCTTTTGAACAACAAAGGGAGGGCAGAGACCTTTCATCCTTTCACTCTTGTGTGGAAGGTCAAGTCTCCCCCTAAGGTCAGAGTCCTTGCTTGGGTGGTGGTGCTTGGGAAAGTTAACACGTCGGATCTTGTCCAAAGGAAAAGACCCTTTATGTATTTGTCTCCCCACTGGTGTGTGTTATGTAAGCTGTGTGAGGAGAGTGCGGACCACCTTTTCTTAAATTGCCCCTTTTCCTTGATTCTTTGGTGGATCTTGTGGAGGGAGGTTGGTACTGCTTGGGTGATTCCGAAAGGGTGCTTTGATTTCCTCCGTTCTGACTTTGTGGTTTGGGGATCGGGGAAGCGTGCTTCAACCTTATGGGGTTGTTTGGTCCACTCTGTTTTCTGGAACATTTGGATGGAGCGTAATAGGAGAATTTTTGAAGACTATAAGGGAGTGAGAGTGAGTGAACTTTGGGATACAGTTAAGTACTGGGCAGCTTTGTGGGCTATATTTTCTCTAGAAAAAAAAAAGGGAAGGGATATTATTTTGTTTCAATTAAAATTGAAAAAAAGAAAAAGAAAAAAGAAAGCTAGCTAGCAAGGCATGAAATTGAAAAGCAGCGTATGGGGTGAGAGGCCGGCCCAACAAAAGGAAAAAAGAAACAAGGAAAGACCAGTTTGAGGCAAGAGATGGCCCATAAAAAAGTCCAAATGTCTAGTCTCCCCCTCTCTCTCTCTCTCTCTCTCTCTCTCTCTCTCTAAACAATGAGAGGCCTCCAAGTCATTCATTCTATGAATCTATGAATCTATCTATATAGGTCGCATATCAATGTCTACATTTCCCTGTCTAGTGTCTGCTTACTAGAGTGGTGTCTTAGTCTCAGTCTTAGCATACTCTTATAGACCCAATCCAAATGACAAATCCCAAACTCTGAAAGCAAAACCCCCAAATCCATAACTCATTTTCCTCTTCTTCCTCAATTCTCAAAGGAAACATGGTCGGAAAACCTGAGCCAGTCAACGGCACAGCCACTGCGAAGACCGACCCATCTCCGTCCCCGGGCACCTCCATGTTAGGGCTGAAATCAGATCTCCTCAATAACCTCTCATTCAAAACCCTAAAACTCAAAACCAAGCAGCAGGAGCTCCTGATCCGAGTCTCCATCCTCCGCTTAGTCTACATCCTCGCCTTCATTACGCACCTCTTCAGCGTCCTTCGCTACTAGTCCATGAACAACGAGTTCTATCCCTATTTCAATTACCGCACTACCCTCTACTTGACCGAGAAGGGCTCCCTCAAACTCAAAACCAAGCAGCAAGAGTTACTGATCCGAGTCTCCATCCTTTGCTTAGTCTACATCCTCGCCTTCATTATGTGCCTCTTCAGCGTCCTTCGCTACGAGTCCATGATCCACGAGTTCGATCCCTATTTCAATTACTGCACTACCCTTTACTTGACCGAGAAGGGCTTCTACGACTTCTGGAACTGGTTCGACTCCGAGAGCTAGTACCCCCTCGGCCGGATCATCGTCGGCACCCTTTACCCTGACCTCATGGTCACCGCCGCCCTCATCTACTGGACTCTCCAATTCCTCAGCTTCGCCATTCACATTCACAAGGTCTGCGTTTTGATGGCCAAAAGTATATGATTCTTTAGAGGTGGCACTTTATTAAAAAAGTTGAGTAGAAATGGTTCTTTTGAAGGATGGGGGAAAATTAGAAGGCAAAGAGAAACACACACAATACCAACAATGCAACCCGCCTTAGTCCTTGCCAAAGCTTATGACTTCATACAAGACAAAATTTTCTAACAAGATATGCATAAAAGCTTATCACTGCTCAGAATAAACAAGGGCAGATACTTACATGGTTTGAAACAGAGATTTGAACAGGACCAACCTCAGCAAAAAATCCATCTTTCAGAATTAAGATGTCATTACATATTTTCCGCAGTTAGCATAAAGAATACAAGTGCTTGAAAAAACAAAGAATATTGATGCCATCACCTTGATAGGTAAAAGAGGAAAGCATACCTTGTTCACCATAGTAACAACAGCTTCTAAGATCTCCCCTTTGAATGGTGTGAAAACAACACACTGGTACTTCACGAGGAATGTGACAAACCCTGTCCCATTGTGAATCAACCCCTTCCCAATGTTTTCTACGCCTGTAATTGCAACCACAAACCCATGTTGACCACTGCACAAAAGATGAAAATATACCAATTGCTTTATCCATCCCACCATGTAGCAAAAACAGCGAAGAACATTTACCATATACTTGGTTTTTCAAAGCTAAAGCACTTGAAAGATAAACTTGAGCAGGAGAACTTGGTGAAATTCAATTATAAAGTGACTAAAAATAGAATTGGACTAGTATTAATTATACAGAAGGAGACATATTAATGTCGATTTGCAATAAATATAGTTCCACCAAAATTCAAAGCTGAGTCAATAAGGGACTATGGGCTTCATGGGTTCGTCCATGCAATAAGGCCTAGTGCCCAAGACATAAAGTCATGGGCTATGCCCATTAAAATATGTTGGGCTGTCAAGTTCAAGTCCCAAGCCCAATGAACTTGTTTACATTTTTCTTCAACAAACCCGAAAAGTTTATTTTGTTTAGTTATGTATAAACCGATGTTCATAGAGAAATTCAGGAGTAGTAAAGTCATTCTTTTTTTTGGCAGGTGTTTGATGCAAATGATTGCGAGTTTGATATGATTATAGCCAAAGAGTGTTATTTTCAATGTTTATAGCCAAAGAGTGTTATTTTCAATGTTTATATTTTGCACTTATTATCCATGTTGACTTGTGATGGGGACGATCCTGGAATTTAGGAGCCTTTTGTGAAAACAAAAAATAGGGCCCTATATGATATAACAAAGAAAGCATAATAATCCTAAGACAACAACGCCATGCACCTCACAAATCCACGACACATCATCTACTTATCTGAATTCTTCACTTGGTAATATTTTCATTTTTATTATAACAGCTAACACAATGCTTCTACAAATAACGTGGAAAAATGAAGCAAACATCTCTGTATAACCGCCACGTTTGAAGAAGAAAAATCATAGACTCTGAAGGCTCTCGTCTTTTTTAAGCTCATCAGGATTATTTCTCGCACTTTGACGCATCAGCAAACACCTCAGTGTAACATATTGGGCAAGCCTGAAAAATCAAATACTATAAGCTAAACTTAATCCAACATATTCAAAACACCAACATATTCATATCGTAAAAAAACCAGAACAGCTTGCCTTGTTGATGCTAAGCCATCTGGTCCCACAACCAGCATGATAGAGGTGTTTGCACGGTAGACTAATCCGTCGGTACCCTCGTTTATATTCCATCTGGCAAATCACACATCTACGTCCAACAAGGGAATACAAGTTAATATGACAAAAAAAATATATAAAAAAATTAGTGTTTTGTTACAAAAGAGCGCAAAGTGGGAGGGGAAATTTGAACGCTGTCCTTGGTTGTGGAGATAAATACTCAGTACCATTGGAAGGCACCATGCACCATTGGGAGCTAAATTATATAAATCACTCACCAAGATGAAACCTTAACCATTAAACTTTAGCAAAACTAAATCCAATCCAATACTTATACTGGTCTCTTTGTAGATTTTTCAATCCAAACCAATCTAATCCCATCTAAGGTTGGATGGATGATAAGCATCTTGACATATACATTTAATTTTTCATCAGAAGCCAGATATGAGTTCTATGAGACATAAAATTGAAGTGACAAGAAAAGTGCAATATAACTACACATTATAATTTAGTATACACCGAACAGTCTATCCTAGTGAATGACCATGTTGGACATATATTTCTATCACAGACAGCAAACAACATAATTGTCCTAGACAGTGAGCCACTGAAGCATGATGCAGCAGAAAATCAAGTCGTTACTTTTATGCTTGACAGTGAGCTACCTTGCTTATAATGCCCTATTTGCTACATTTATGTCATCATTCTATCGTAGAAACATTTTGATCAAACAGCCTTGTGCAAAAGGGTACCTTCATTCTCCGATAAATTAGTGTTCTATATCTCTCCAGAATCCCATACTAATGAAATCAAGAAAAACCAATTTTCTTTTCTTTCTGTTTTCAGATAAATTGAAAAAAAAAAAAAAAAAAAAGTAGAGCAAGGGAAAATGTTATTCTTGCAAACATTAGTAAATATTAAACTGTCTGGTGCTATAATAAACCATAAGCAATTCCATAAAGTAGGACTTTAGATTTCAAATTTTGATTTGAGGGGCTGTTGGAGAGAGAGAGAGACAGAGAGAGTACCTCTCATCTCGTGATTTCTTTCTCGAGAAAAAGCTGCATTTGTACTTCGAGATTGGAAGCAAAGAAATCTGATCTTGAGAAAGACCTCGACTTTGAGTTCCAACTGCCTCACTTAACTCAAGTAATTCCTGAACATGAAAAACATTGTCAGTAATATTTATTCAAAATATATGTAAAAACGCAAAAATATAAAAACCAAATAAATGTTTTTAACAAGTACTAGATGTTTCCATACGACACAAGGTGTTAAAGACATACAACAGCTTAAACTAGAGAACATGGTTATGTTTCAGAGATTCACTCACTAACAATTATGGAGTCGGATCCCCACCAAGAATACAACTCTATGGCCAGAACCAAAAATCATATCCACCAGTAAAAGCTGATGAGGCTGATGAGACTAGCTAGGAATATAATATTCTACACTATTATGCAAGGAATGTAGCATTTCAGGAAAAAACAATCCACTTAAACTAATGACAACAAAGTATGAATTCAAGGTATGCCCAGTGCCCAGTAACAGGCAGAAATTGTGCAGTTGAGAGATAAAAAAGAAAAGAACCAAAGTCTTAACAAATTTGCAAGAATCACGTCATTGAGAACGAACTGAAATTACAAAAAGAGTCATGAAATGAACTTTGTAGAGCACAAGTAACCTTCCTACCAATGAAGTAAATCTACACCATCAAGGGAAAAAATTCAGTATGAACTGCTAAAATATCCTTTTTGTTAGCATAACATCCTAATGAATGCATAATCTAGAGAAAAATCAAAACTTTTCAATAGATAAGACAGATTACTTAATGATAATAGAAATGTATTATCCAAATTCTGAGGAGGAGAAAGTATAAAACTAGTAGCAAACCTCGTAAGTCATGCTATCAGGATCGATGTTGTCTTGCCAAATAACCTGCAAGTAAGAAAATGCTTCAACTTTCAATATATTCAACTCATTATATTTCTCGCACAAAGAGTTGAATGTCATAATGATCCAGGGAAAAAATTCCAGGTACAAAATCAATGGTTAGGATATTTTAGGAAGAAAAATTATAAATGGAAATCAGGAAAAGGCCTGCCTAGGCTGTGATGACTTAATCATCTAAAGCTTCCATTCATGTTAAGGCAATCAATTCTACTCAGTCCCCAATATAGGTGCCTGTGTGCACATGTAGTGCATATATGCAAACGTGAACAGAAGCCTAATTGTATAGTATATCTAGACAGAGATATTTTAACACTTAAAAGCATTCAACTTGTTCTGCACCGAAATCATGGAGAAGCTAAATACCTGATAATCCTGGGAATTTTGATATCTCCGTGGGCCTGAAATGTAAAATATGATACTTCAATTGTTGGAAAAATAGGAAAATATCAAGTGTAAAGTAAATGAGTGGGAACAGAATTAACACCAAACGACATTAGGAGCAAAAAAGGATCGAAATAGAGGAGAAAACAGAATTAACATCACTTTTAGTCAAACTCAGAAGAAACATGCAAGTACACGGTCCTTCAAAGATTTTAAGTTTACAATACACTGTCACATGGTTACATCAGTGGAGTTTAATATATACAGTCCATGTTACCTATAAGGGCTCATTTAGCCTGCCATATATTTTGAAGTTGTACTTATAGGTTTCATCACACAATGGTTTTAAATTTTTAATTAACAGGGTGAACCATGGTGGCCACATGGAGAGATCAAGTAGCTCTAAACAGCAGAAAGTTTGAATTCAAAAGAATATGAAATGAAAAAGAGCAAGTACAACAATATAAAAGCTTTTGTATAAGTAAAATGTATTATTAGAGAACTCCAAGAGGACACAAACCAAGGACGAGTAAACATTATAACAGTGGGTCCTATCATTAAAATTCAGAAAAGGTGGTTGCCAAAAACCTACGTCCATGAATTTGACGCCTACCCATGTATGAATGAAGTAATAATCCTTGGAACTGGAATGAAACCATTATGCAAAATAATGAACTTTTTAACAATCAAACACCTAATCACTAACTTCTTCTTTTCAAGAGGAATAATATATGTCAACTAACTCTATAAGTCACCACTAGGCCTATATATCGTCTATGTTACTGGTCCCTGCAGGCCCTATAATGTTTTAATCCATCCACAAAGAGAAGAACAACTAGAGAATGCTCTAAGACTATCTCACCTTTGGAAATTTCATCGCCAATGAACATACTAGTCACTAATTCATTGTTTTATTCTCTAAATAACATTTTTCCAGCCTTCAGGGCCTCTAATATAGGACCCAGAAAAGAGGAACCAGAGCATAATCATGATACCTATCACCACCTGCAATCCCATTCGCCACCCAAAAAAGAAAAAAAAACACTTAGAACTGACATTCTATGGGGTTGTCGCGCGTAGAAGTGTTTGCATTTCCTTCCCATTCTGAATTCACTGCGACATTTTGTTCATTAGTCGTTGTTGAAGAGCTCTGCAAAAGCCTTCTTTGTTCACCACTTCTTGGGTCAGGATCATTCAACTCATAAGCATGACCAAAACCAAGATCATAATATGAAGTATTCCCAGGTTCAGTTAACCCAAACTTGTAATAATTTGTATTCATTGTTGGGTAAGCACTCTCCTACACACATAAGAAGGAAAAATCTTATTGTACATGGAACAAGATGTAAAATCTGCAGTGATTTCCACTGCGAGCAAGAAATTGAAAGAAATGTACACTGATAGATATAATACAGACAAACAATCCAAGGTTCAAATATTTGCATTATCGATAGTAGAAAATTAAACAAGAACTCATTACGTATGAGTGATCCTACATTTTGGAAACAGGATAAAACACAAGGAATAATACTATTGATTCATACTACACATTAGTATATTTTGAGCCTGGTTTCCATTTAATGCACGTAAAGACTCATTAAATGAATCACCATCTATGGAAAGTTGAAAAGAAACCTTTATGCTGATATTTAGTGGAAAGTACCTGAGCATGTGAATCGCCTGAAAAAATAAAGTTCACATGTTCATAGGTAAGACCTTCAAAATACTCCATAAAGCTACCCGCCGTGCTATAAGGACAGCCGGTGTAGGTGTAATGAACTTCCATGTGCGGGTTCCAATTCATTTTCAGCTACAAGACAGACGAGCAATCTAAAGGGCACAAAGACAAGAAATGAGTATTTACAGGGTGAAGAGACCATAAGGTCAACAAACAAAACTAATCGGCAGATGCAAACCTGATCTTTCGACAAATTCTAGCACCCAATATCATATAACAAAACTCAGGCCAAAAAGTGCAATCACTTTTGCACATTTAGAAATTCCTGCAAATCAAAACCAAGGATCAAAATTTCATCTTAGAGAAAATTCAAGAACTCACCAACAATCAAATTCACACAGAGAGCAAATAAATCATGAGTTTTAGGATGGAAGATGGACGAAAAAAGGAAATCAAAGTGCTTCCAGATTCATGTAGTTTCCCATAATGTCATAATTCAACTGGCATTGGCAGATCTAAGCAGTTTTCTAAAATTACTCATCTCCATTTCATCTATTTAAGGGAAGCATCAATTTCAATTAGTTATTAAAAGAAACTCAATTCCAAATTTTCTTATATTTATTCAGGAAGCATCCACAATCAATTTCGCCTAAAATTTTCCTTCTGATCAACTCTCTAATGGAATAGTTTCCGTTCAACCAAACACAAAAGGAGAAAAAATTTAAATAAATAAAAAAACTGATAATAAGATAACGAATCGCTGTTGAAACCACAGCATCATTATCACCACAATTAAACTTAAAATGCAGATTCCAGCCAGATTGTTTTAGTTTTTGGATTAGCTGGAGAGAAAATATAATGGTCTGAACTAGAAAGAAATTCATCACTAGGAAATAGAAACAACTTTAGAAAGAAAATCATTAATCATTTTATCCAAAACAAAACAAAAATTCCTCTCATTTCGTTTCCTTTCCTTTCCTTTCCTTTCAACTTTCTCCGCAACCAAACGCAAACAGAGCCCGCCAAATCTACCTAATTATACGGCATTGATCTCGAAGCGCTCTCTAATAACACCAAATCAACCAAACAAAATAGAAAAAGAAACTCCACAAGCAGAGGAAATACGACGGAAAATGAGAGAGAAAGTCTGAACGGATCAGAACAAGTAAAACAAAGATATATAATCAGAAGATGAAGAAGACTGATTCCATAAGGATGAAAGTGAGGGATCAAAGAACCGACATTGCTGGATTTTCTCCTCAGAAGCGCTTCTTCCGCTTCTGTTTGAAGAAAAGGGCTTATCTTCTTTGGTCTCTGCGTCTCTCTCTCTCTTCTGCGTCTCTCTCTCTGTTGTATTAGTATGTAATTGGAGAGAGAGAATCCCGAGTGTCTGCAATGGCTTTATGCAGTGGTTTCAGTGACACGCGAAGTCCGTTTGATGAGGAGATTGGGATCCGCTGTCACGCGTCCTATGCTAAAGAATCATAGCATGTCTCTGCCTTTAACCGTTGCTTTTCCATCATAGCTATTAGCTACTAGGACAAATATTTGTATGTAACAACAATATTCCATCCATCTCAATTATTATACGATGTGACAAATTTTACACTATATACTATAATATTAATAAATATACATGTGTTGTGGATGTAAACTTATTTTTTCCTCGAGTAGCATTATGTAAATTTGAATTTGTATATTTTGGGCTTAGCCAAATTGGGAATGTATATATATATATATATAAGCTTAGCTAAATTGACTAGAGCAGATGCACTCCTCACTTTGTACCGGAGTTCAAATCCTCCTTCCCGTAAATTAAATTAGATTAGTTTAAAGTAAAATATCGCTTGTGTAAAAAAAATACATTATCCTCCGTATTCTTAATTTCTTATCTTTAAAATGGGGGAAATAAGAGATGCAATAATTCTCAAGAGTCATGCGCTGTAGAATGCGCGAGCTGAAACATTTGATTACCGGCATGGGGTCCACAGCCATCGGAAAAATGATCCCAAATCCAAAGATTTGTGGTTGGGGGGTTGCAATGAGTGGTTGGCTTGCATATGGAAAAAGGGCAATCGCATAAATTTGGTTGAAAATAGATAACCAAAACCATCTGACTTCCCCCCCAAAAGGAAGTTGGTGTCAGTTAAGGTTAGTTAGGACTCTCTACACAACTTGCAAGCTATTTTTTCTTTAAAAGAAAAAGGTGCTCTAAACTAAACCAAAACAAAAGGGAAATGACAGACAGTAGTTTAGCTAAGTTGGTTAAAGCGGATATGCTCCCCCACTTTGTACCTGAGTTCAAGTCTCCCTCCCGTAATTTAAATTGGATTCAAGTAGAATATCGTTACAAAAACAAAAGAGAAATGAGAATGACTTAGCTGTGTTTCTTTCTTCTCTATGACTTCATTATAATGTTGTGGATGGGAGGGGGCCAACTATGTTCTAAAGTTTTGTTGGTGGGAGTGGTTCCCTTTTAACACATGACATGATTGAACAAATAAACTATAACCCCGGGCACGCAAAAGTTTGTGATGAATGCCGATCCCACTTCTAGTTGGTGCAATCTTCTTCTTCTTTGTCTGTCTCCAAATTTCAACGCACTTTTTAGAATATTGAATTAAACGAAATTTGCTGAATTGTGTTATTGTGTTTGCCTTAAGCACCAAGGTATAATTACTAGATTTAAGTGATGCTAAGCAAAGGGAATACTAGTGATGGGAATCAAACCCCATCATAACCATTGGAGGACCCAAAATAACCAATGAAAATGAAGTTGTGATGCTATCAACATGATTGCTACTTGCCCCAAATGTGGGAAGAAAAAAAAAGGTATTCTTCCATCTCTCTCTCTCTCTCCCCCCCAATAGTTTTTGATAGGCGACTTGAGCTTTTGGTGTGCCATGGGTGAGAGGACAAGAGCTGGTTGTCTTACCAAAATGGTAAAGGCTGTCAGGCATGTGAAGGAGAGAGGGAAAGCTTTAGGTGAATAAGAGCAGAGCAGACATGAAATGAGTGATGAGGAGGATGGAATAAAAACCTGGCGTGCAAGGGAAGTGAAGTGGACAAATCATAAATATTCTCTATTCTTTTTGTCTGCCGACGTGTCGCTTGCAATCAAAAATAAGCTGGCTGCGTTTTGTCCCCATTGCTACCTGTGGTGGGGCCCCATTAATACGACTTTGCTTTCTTCTTTCTCATTGCAACTCCGCAAGCCACATGCATTTTTAGACATGCTCTTTTTGACGCAAATCTACCCAAACACTTAACTTCAGATTCATTTCAAGCCCTGAAAAAAACACAAGAACTTATTATTACAATCAGAGAAAGGAACCATTTAGCACACAACATTGCTATCAGAAAAGCTGCCAAAGACTGTGTGAGTGAGAGAGATAATGGACCAACAGAAGAAGTGAAGCAGTTGAAGAAACCAACAATGGATCAGGGGCAGCTCTGTATGCCTTTCCTGTCTAAACTCTGCCACCCTTAATTATATTCAGTTACCTCGTGCAGAAAATCTCTAATAAAGAGCAGATCACGAAAAGCACATCGAGAAATTTCCAATACCTTGGCATAGGATGGAACTGAGATGTTCTTGGCTAGCAACCTTGAGAACATTTTGGTGCTGCTTAAGAACAGCTACCATGTTTTCCTTGTAAGAACCCTCGCGATAGTGCAAAAAGTATTGTCAGTCAGTAAGACAAACACAGAAACAAATTCATTCTGGAAACTTGTCATATTTTTTTTTTCGCAAAAACTGTGTCGACCCGGAAGGAAGGGTGGACAAATTTGAAGAATCATACAAATTAGAAAGCAAAAGGAGAAAAAGAAACAAAAAGGCAGCTTTAAGAATTCATACCAGAGTAGAAGCACCAAGGATAAACAATTAATAGAGAAGTTCTTCAGTTGTTGCAGTCATATTACTGTCCAAGTTTTCTGTTAGTACTCTTCGAATCAAACTACAGTCTTAAAATGCACTCTTTGGACATTGTCTGACAGTTTGAAATGGAGGCCTTCTCATCTGCACTCTTCTCCTTCACCTGCTGACTCAAACTTGTTGCCTAAAATTCAGCACCAAGGTGGAAGTTATCCCAAAATGCAGGAACTTCTGATATGCTGCCAACAAGCTCCATTTGTCTTGTTAACTCAACCAAACAATCATATATCTGTTTCGACTGAGGGTGTGATTTGTCTCTAACAATAAACTCATGTACAGTGCCATTCACCTCGATTGAGCTACAACCAGGAGTCTTCTCTACTCCTCTCTCCTTCATCATACTTTGTGCCTTCTCTGCCTCCTCCCACATATGTGATTCCCTATACATTTTTGCAAGCAAAACGTAAATTCCACTATCATGAGGGTCCAGCTCAAGAAGCCTGGAAGCGGCTCTTTCTCCTATCAAAATATTTTTATGAATATAACAAGCAAAGAATAATGCACCCCACACCACAGCATCTGCCTTGATTGGCATGCTATGGATAAGCTCTTCTGCTTCTTGCAAAAGACCAGCCCTGCCGAGAAGGTCCACCATGGAAGAGTAATGTTTAAGTTCAGGGCAAAGATTGAATATAGAGGTCATTAAGGAAAAGCACTTACGACCATCTTCAACCAAACCCCCATGACAACAAGCTGATAAGACCCCAAGAAAAGCGATCTCATCTGGCACCAATCCTGTATTTATCATCTCCGCAAAGTAAGATATGGCAACATGTGCATGTCCATTAAGGGCTAAACCACAAATAATAGCTGTCCAAGTGAAAGAGTTTCTTCCTGGCATGTCCCAGAAGACCTTGAGAGCCTTTGTGATATTCCCACATTTAGCATACATGTCTACAAGGGCAGTCCCCACAGCAACATTTATAGAAAGACCATGTTTTTCAATATAATGGTGAATCCATATCCCGACATCAAGTGCTCCAATTTGTGAGCATGCACATAAGCAGCCAACCATGGTTATTTCATCAGGATTTATATTACTAGCTTACATTTCATGAAACAGAGCCAAAGCCTCCTTGCTATGCTTGGCTTGCACATAGCCACCAATCATTGCATTCCATGGCACAACATTCTTCTCTGGAATCTCATACAATAGCCTGTGAGCAATTTCCAGAAACCCATATTTGGCATATCCCACTATCATTGTAGTCCATGAGACAATGGTTTTCTTTGTCATGTTGTCAAATAATGCTTGAGCGGCCTCAAGATTCCCACACTTCATATACATGTCCATAAGCGAATTAGCAAGAGGAACTGTCAAACTTAGTCCATTCTCTTCAATCAACAGATGAAATTTTCTCCCAAGTCTCAAATCCTCTAGTTGGGCACACGAAGAAACCACTCCAATCATTGTAACTTCATCCGGCTTAAATCCCTCCAACTCCATCTCCTGATAAATCCTTAACGCCTCACACGCCAACCCACTTCGGACATAACCATTAATCAAAGAATTCCAAGAAACCAAATCTCTCACACAACCTTCATCAAACACCTTACGTGCGGCCTCTAATTCTCTGCATGAAACAAGCATATGAATCACAGCATTGTGAACAAACATATCCAAATATAAACCCAATCGCATTACATGCCCAAGAACCTTGCGACCCGTAAAATTCAAAGTTAAATTAGCACAAACTTTCAACAATAACGGGTAAGTATAATTATCCGGTCTCGACCCACCATTTCTCAACATTTTCTTATACAACACAACTGCTTCTCTCGGATTCTCACTCTCCGAATACCCTCTAATGACCACATTCCAAGAAAACACATTTGGGTTCTGCGTATTGTACAAAATCTTGTTACAATAATCAAGATTTCGCGACTCTGAAAGCGCACAAAAGGCGATTAGGCGACTCGAAGCAAACCCATCTGAGATTAGCCCCGTGAGGATCATTTGGGATTGGATTTGCTTCAGCTGGGACATGGATTTGCATGTTTCTAATAGGGAGAGAAGTGGGTTTGCTTGAACTGATTTGTGGGTTGTGTTCCAATTGGTGGGCTTGTGTTTGTGGGGTGAGAGAGAGCGGGTGTGGAAGAGAGAAAGGAGAGGGTCTGAGACTGGCTTTGGAACGAAACGTGGAGGTCTGACTCTGAGGGTGGACATGGAGATAGAGAGGAGGATGATGAGCATTAGATTTGAGTATCGGCATTGGTGTGTGATACTGGCGCGAAATGCTGTTGGTCAAACACTAAAAAACTTCTTCATTTGCAAAAAAGAAAAAAAGAAAAGCAAAACTTGAAGAAGAAAAGGAGAAATTTTTAGTAAAAACTTCTCCACCCTAGAGCATGTTGTTGGCTGGGACTGAATTGAATTATGAAGTAGAATTGTATCGTATTTGATTACATTGAATTGGAGATGATAACATTAATTCAATAATGTGCTTGCTACTACAAATAATTAAGAAGCTAGATGAACTGAAATATGATATTACATGGCCTAGGAGGGTTAGACATAATCTCATCCAACTTAATCCTAATTTTTGGATGGGATTCATAACCCTACTACATTTTGGCCTAGTAGGATAGGACATCATCCAATTCAGGTTGTTTTCACGCCACCAAAACATTTGATTAGGATTATAAATCTCATCCAGCCATATAATCCAGCTCACCAAACGGACCAGTGAAGGTGATGCTCTATTTATTCGGGCATCTCCAACAACACAGTCTATTTGTTTGCTAATTTTGAGTTAAAAAGTGTTAGAAAGCTATTTTGGCTGATCAGTTTTATATGACTACTCTAGACTAAAATAAAGAGAAGGATGGGGAGATTTTCCTTCATCCACTCTCTATTCTAGCTAAGGATCTCCTTGAAGAAGTCTCATGGGAGATGCTCTTATTTCAATTGTTATGTATTTAGTTTCAGAAATAGTAAAAAATCATGATGAAAACTGCCAAGATAAATATGTAAAGAGAAGAACCAGTATTTAAACATTAATTTAACAAAATGAGCTCTTAACAGCTCTTATAGCCAGGACAGTGAGAGCAAAACTCCTGGCATATGGAACAACGCTTAGGAGACAAAATCCTCTAACACTAGGTTATTGAGTGAAAATCCCCTGACAAAAAAAATTAAAATATAACTCAGGATGAAAGTTTGTTGTTTTTTCATCAATATCTGTAGCTATATGGAGGGTTGGGTTGTGGAATTGTCCATTCATTTTTCACTTAAGCCCCACCAGAACCATACTTCTTTCCAAACACTAGCACCTGAAGCTTGTCATAACCTGCAAGCACACCAGCACCAGCAACTGCACGAAGAATATTAGCACCGGCACCCTTGAAGAGAGATTTTGCACCCTCATTCTTCAGGATCTGAGAGAAAGCGTCGAGCGAGCTCTTGTACTTGACGGCTTCACCAGACGTCATCATCATCCTTCTACGGACAGTGTCAATCGGGTAAGAAGCAAGTCCAGCGCCGTTGGTGATAACCCAACCAAGACCAAAGCTAGCAAAGAAACTATCCTGGAATTGTCCAAAAAATTAAAAATAGAAAACATGTGAGATAATCGTCACAAGTTATTAAGAAACCGTTTATACACAAACTGATTGTTGAGAGTTTAGATAAAACAGCAGTATATCGACTTGTTTTATAGTGGTTACATTAAGCATAATGTATGATAGTCACTTACCTGCAGCTTTCCAGTGAGGATCACAGGCTTCAAAGAATCATACATTCCAAAGTACAGACCACGGTACACGATGATGCCAACACAAGAAATGTTGAAGCCACGGTAAAGGCCAGCGATACCATCTGACTTGAGAGTCTTTTTGTAGACATCAACCAAGCCATTGAATTGCCTCTCTCCTCCCTTCTTTGCAGCCTTGGAATCATTTGCAAGACGGGTACGAGCATAGTCCAAAGAATAGACAAAGAATAAAGAAGACGCACCAGCAGCACCACCAGATGCCAAGTTACCTGCAAACCATTTCCAGTAGCCATCCCTGTCCTTCTTGAAGTTGAACAGGCTCTTGAAGTAATCTTTAAACGCAAAGTTTAAGGCCTGGACAGGAGACAACAATGTAAGCACATTGCAGTAAGACTCAGAGATAACAGAAAGAGAGAGAGAGATGAGTGTAGTTAACAAACTGGAAAAAATGGGAATGACAGACCTGAGTTGGGAAGTAACGGATGACATTTGCTGTGTTTCCTCTCCACAATGCTACCATTCCCTCATCCTTCATCGTTCGGCTAAAACAGTCTCCGATTCCCTTATAGGGTTCAGAAAGCCTACCAGCCTTGATCATCTCATCCTGATTCTGAATCAAGAGCTTTACGCGCTCAATTGGAGCAGCAGCAGTCTTGGACACAGCAGCAGAAACACCACCCATTAAGAAATCAATAGCGAAGCCCGAAAATCCTTTCTCTTTTGGGGCTTGGACACACACAGGTAAGACACCTGAAGCCACCAGTGGATCATTAGCTCGACATGCGTGGTTCATTGGATACTCCAATGCTGCATTAGAATAATTTCCATATGCGAAACGCCTTTGATTGAGAGCAGGCCTCTGGAAGCCCCCATAGTGGCTGTGGGAGTCTTGAGAAAGGCTGGAACCTAGATGTAGCTGACCAGAAAACTTTTGCATAACAGTTGGATCTTGGTGCCTATCAGCCATCACTTAGCAAAAAATCAAACACCTGCAAACTCGACAACTTCTGTAATCAGAAAGGGAGCCAAGGAAAAATATCCACTATTGTTTAAACAGTTTGAAAATATCATGCTACATAGAACCAATCAATTGGAATAAATAGAACATAAGAATCGGAATTCATTGCTTAGAACCCCAAACTCCAACAGTGTGTTTGGATGAGGAAATTTAAAAATACAAAGGATTTCATAAATGACGGAATTTAAAATGACGGAAATTAATGTTCTAGAATTTGTAAAGTTTCTTGTTTGGGTGACGGATTTAAAACACGGAACTTAACCTTTATTTGTAAAGTTATCTTTTTAAAAACTCAATCTCTCTTGGGATTTTAGAAAGGACGACTTTTAGATGGAATTTAAAGTTGGGATTTATGATCTCCAAATTCCATGTTTTTTCCCACCCGGAATTTCTAAATTTCTATGTTTTTTTATCCAAACACGGGAATTGGTTCATGTCAATTTAGAAATTCCGACTTTTGTCAAAATCCCAAGTTTATTTCCCTCATCCAAACGCACATAAGACTAATATGGGAAAAATGGACCAATTGGAATAAATAGCTGCTGCTCCAGACAACCTGACAGTTCCCCAACATACCCTTTATCAAACTCACAAAATGAAAAATGAAAAATGAAAATAAATGGAGAACCATGAATCATGAATGACGATGACTTTCTAAACATGATCTGAAAAGATTGGTTATAAGATAAAAAAAGGAATGAAAGCAAAACCTATCACTAAGAAAAAATAGATAGACAAATCCAAAAGTTTCACATAGAATGATAGATGTAATAGACTATGTGCAACACATCTATGTTAAAACTAAAAAGTAATAGCCAATGACCATTTTGTCAAGTGTATTTTGTCTTTGCTATGTTGGAGAATATCCGGAATTCAAATTTCACGAAAGACAATTGTTGAATCAAAACAAGGATCTGAAAGACCCTTTTGCTTGTTTATAACAAAAATGCAAATACAACAATCTGTGAACTCCGAAACTTGAGCAAAATACAAGGTCAAAAACACCACATAAATAAAAATAAAAATAAATAAAAAAAGAACGCAAATTAATAGAGAGATGCGATCGCTGCAGTAAGATAAAGTCAGAGATAGAGAGAGACAAAGAGGGTTACCCTTTGAGCTTGGCACTCGGAATATTAAAGGAGGAGAGCCTAACGAGGAGAAAGATATGGTGGGAATGCCAAGGAGACTGCAGGGTTTGAAACCAAAATGGACACTCCCTCTTATAGCCTCAAGTTCTCTCTCTCTCTTTTTTTTTTTTTTTTTTTTTTTAAAGAAAAAAAAGTTGGAGATGATTTTATTTTTTCGGTAATTAAAACATATATATTTGTAGGTGATTTTAGTAGGAAAGTTATGCATTTGGCATGTGAATGTGAATGTGATAACAAAATTGGCATGTCAAATGTGATTAAAAATGATTCTTTGAATTTGGTTTGGTTGATTGAGACAATTAAGCCAGGTTCTCGGGGAAATGGGAAATATGCATTGGTGGCATTTGTCATGCTTCCATTCCACAGCATTTTTAAGGTTGCCATACTAATTTTGTGCTACTTTGTTTTAAGGCTATGTTTAACTTGCATGTTGATGAGGTGGCATGGGTGTACCCACTCAAGTTTTTCTCCATTTACCCAGGGTGCAAAGCAATCAAAGGCCCTCGTAACCGTTCAGTGACTAATTTATTAACCATAGTTGAGAGCTACTTGAAATTTACATTTAAACGTGAGATATACTTGAAATTTACATTTAAACGTGAGATAGGTTAGTTAACCAATACAATGTACCAGTCCTCTTACATTTGATGTTGATCTCGCTCCCGGTACATTAGAATAATTTGAAATAATATCGTTGTAAAAAGAAAAACACTTGAAAATTACATGTGAATGAATGGTTCTTTTGATGTAAAAAAGAAAACATCTGAGGTGAGCTCTAACTATAGTCCTCAAATCAAATGAGATGCACTTGGAAAAAAAAATTAAGAACAGGAAAGATCGGATGTAAAACTGCACCTATAGCACACAAAAATGCTTGAACCTTTTTCTAATCATTCATTTACAACAATAATAAAAACCAACAATTTCCTGAAATTCAATGTGAGAATGCCACCGAAGTTGAGAAAAAATGGTTGGAGACGAAAACTGGGGTTTTACAGCAATGGCTAAAAGGATCAGAGGACTGCATCATTCATTTTTATTTCCATAACCCATGTTCGCAAATGTTTTTGAAGACTAAACCATATATAAACAACACCTACTACATGCCTTCAAAAAATGGCGAAATACAGTACTCACTTACATGATGTCACATCCTTTTCCTTTTTTTGGTCGAAACACTAACTTGCATCTTTACAGTAAAGCTTCATTTACAACAATAATAAAAACCAACAATTTCCTGAAATTCAATGTGAGAATGCCACCGAAGTTGAGAAAAAATGGTTGGAGACGAAAACTGGGGTTTTACAGCAATGGCTAAAAGGATCAGAGGACTGCATCATTCATTTTTATTTCCATAACCCATGTTCGCAAATGTTTTTGAAGACTAAACCATATATAAACAACACCTACTACATGCCTTCAAAAAATGGAGAAATACAGTACTCACTTACATGATGTCACATCCTTTTCCTTTTTTTGGTCGAAACACTAACTTGCATCTTTACAGTAAAGCATCCAACAATCAGCAAAAGTCTCAACTATTTCTAAAACTAACTCGACAGTCGACAATAGGCGTTTGACCAAAAGAGAAAAAAACACTCGAGCGATGGTGCTCACAAAGCTTTGAGCTTGAAGGTCTTCTTTGCTGAATGTCAACCACGCTCCAGTATTGCACAGACAGTACTTGAGCTCAGAAGCTATTGATGCCTGCCCAAATCAATCTGATCTCTTCCTAGCCCAAGAGATGAAGGCTCTAAGGAAGCTTCTGACCTCCTCAAATCTACTTCCAGTTCCTTCTGTCTCAGTTGCAGTACCTTTCTCTCATTCTCTAGCTTCATTCTCTCATTCTCCAGCCTCAACCTCTCCAGTTCCCTGTCTTTCTTGCTACAGTATCTTAGCCATTTATACCTCTGCTTTTCAAGCTCCAAAGCTTCGGCCTGGAAGCCGACTCTTTGCTCTTGGAGTTGCAACTTCTGTTTCTTGATCCAGTCTCTTCGCTCCCATAATGACTTCGTTGGGTCTTGAAAAATCTCACCCATTTCAACTTCAAAACTATCCAGAAGAACATATTGTGGCCAGAAATGGCCATCCTCTTCACTAGCCTTCTTCCTGTCACCCATTCTTCCCATCCTCTCCCTATCATTATCTGCATCGTTATCATCTTCGTTGTCTAATTCATCATCCTCGGTATCATGGTTTTCTTCAGCCTCTTCTTCATCGGATCCATTATTGTCTTTTGAGCACCTCCCAAGAGGCAAAGAATAACCTTGGAGATCGAGATCATGGCAATCAGGTATCCTCTGTCCATTATGATAAGCACACATTTCTTTATAAAACAAGTGTTTTGAGCTCAATATCTTCCTAACGTCATCCTTCGCCTTGGCAGACAGGTGGGGCATTGAGTCCATAAGAGCAGGATTCTCCACCACTCTACAACTAGTTCCCCTCCCAAGAATATCATTCAACCTCTTATACCTCTTGTTCAAGTCATTAAACTTGTCCTCACACTGCTGAGGAGACACGTGACAACCTTTACTAATCATTATTTTCGATACAGTCTTCCACTTACCCTTCTTCTGTAAAATCCCAGATTTCCTCTTAAGCCCCTCGCCACTTTCAAGCGTACCATCATCACCCACACAAGCAACAATAGCTATAAGAAGCCTAACCACATTATCAGTCCACTTCATTCGCTGCCATGGAGATCCCTTTTTGCCCTTGGCCCCTTCGAAGTTCTCACCACCATCATCTGTATAACTTGGCTCGTCTTCATCACTCAAATTGTAACCATTATTGGCATTAAAAGGTGCCACTGCCTTCCCTTTGACAGTAGTCGAACAAACTTTTGGGATTGACCCTTTCACTTCCACAAGCCCAATGGGATCATGATCACCTTTAACGCCACTCATGACATTCATGTGATGTTGATGATGTGCTAACAACGGATGACCCAATTGTATCTCTTGGCGTCTAGGAATGGACGATTCAAGGTCTAGCATCCCCCCATTGGGACCAGACAAAAAACCACCTCCCAAACCTGAACCATCCATCTTTCCACACTCAATCAGATTACTGTAATGTTCAGTTTGGTTTTTTACAAAAACCAAAAAAAGAAAAGCAAGAACAGATCAGAAACTAAAAGCTTTCAATCCTGACACTCAACTAAAAGGCCATATATCTCAGCTGTGTTTTCCAATTAGCAACATCGAGACAACCAGTGTTTTCCAATCCTGATACAACTAGTTGGTTTATCAGAGAGGGTTTTTCCTCCACCAACACCAAAAACGCTGGAAACTTTTAACATTCACAATTTCTTTCATTTTCCTCCATTTCCTCACCAATCAAACAGATTGTATCTTGCGAATCCCATAATGCCCAAAAACGGATTAGACCAACTAATGGGCAATCACTCAATGCCTCGTTCAGGGTATAAGCTTCAAACCCCAAACTTGCGACTGAATATTAAAGCAGAGACAATTTGGAAACAAACCCAGAAACGCAAAAAGATCCAATCTGAAGATTAACAAGTTCTGGAAAATATTTGGACTTCGACCCACGAATTTTCCTAGAAATTTAAACAAAGAGTTATAACGGTAATCAATCCAATTTCCATATATATATTACGGTAATTAATCCAAATTACAAATATAGAATCCATATGAAATAGAAAGCAAAGAGTTTTCGAAGCCTACCTTTTCAAGATCGACCACGAAGATTTCACCCAATCTGTAGATAGAGATTAAATTGAGTCTCAGACTGCACTCACTAGCTTTTAGAGACTGTTTGAGTTCGAAGGAAATGAGTTTACTTTCAAAACCTGCAGGAACTCACTGCCGTTTTTACATCCACTGGATCAAAGTCAATGCTCTACAGTAGTCGATGTCGTACAAACTATTTCTAGGACATCCCCCAAGTTTATAGTTTACAATCTGTTGCTAATAAATGGGAAATAAACTATGTGACGCCAATAAACGATATTTTTTTGAATTTTTATCAAAAATAGCCAAAATTTACCCCCCACTTTCAAAAATGTCAGTTTTTATAAAATATTTCAAATATAACCAAAAACTCACTTAAATAGACACAAATACCCTTAAAAATTAAAACTCACATAAACCTAAAAAGCAAAACCCTACTACACAAAATTTGAATACAATTGCACTTCATCATACCTCGTAGATATGTGTAATATTTTACTATTTAAATTTATGAATTAGTATGAACAATGGATGAATATTTAATTTTATAATTTTCTTAAATTTTTTGGTGTAAACTTTTGAAGATGAGGAAAAAAGCATGCTTTCCCTCACAATTTTTGTAGATTTGAGATGATATACAGTAGAGATGCAGCGCTTTTGGTTTGGCCCATGTGAGGATAAAGTCTTTGCACATGGATTCAATACTATTATATTTTTCTATCAATTTTGTGATTTGGAAAACCAAGCTATAAGCATTCTGGTATGGTTATTAAGTTCCTGATCAACTCCCACAGAGACACTCCTCATTTCATGCAATGACGATGCTTTCTACAAATTTGATTGTATGACCTTTATGTGCGAAAGAAAGACAGTTTTTCAATAAGTTGAATATTCAAAACATAATTATTGAATACTAGTGTCTCTAATATAAGTTTTTAAGTTTCTTGGTCCTATTTATGGATATTTCCTCTCAGGTTGCTGCGATAAACACAGCAATGGCTGCTCTCACAAAGACAGTGGGTGTGTTCCCGAAGTCTTTGATAACAAAGTCTTTGCACATAGATTCAATACTTTGATAACATATCCCGTTTGTACATGATCTTTCTTTTTAAGTTTATGTGGGTTTTAATTTTAAAGGGCATTTGTGTCTATTCAGGTGAGTTTTTGGCTACATTTGAAAGATTTTATAAAAACTGACATTTTTGAAAGTGGGGGGTAAATTTTGGCTATTTTTGATAAAAATTCAAAAAAATATCGTTTATTGGCGTCACATAGTTTATTTCCCATTTATTAGCAACAGATTGTAAACTATAAACTTGGGGGATGTCCTAGAAATAGTTTGTACGACATCGACTACTGTAGAGCATTGACTTTGATCCAGTGGATGTAAAAACGGCAGTGAGTTCCTGCAGGTTTTGAAAGTAAACTCATTTCCTTCGAACTCAAACAGTCTCTAAAAGCTAGTGAGTGCAGTCTGAGACTCAATTTAATCTCTATCTACAGATTGGGTGAAATCTTCGTGGTCGATCTTGAAAAGGTAGGCTTCGAAAACTCTTTGCTTTCTATTTCATATGGATTCTATATTTGTAATTTGGATTAATTACCGTAATGTATATATGGAAATTGGATTGATTACCGTTATAACTCTTTGTTTAAATTTCTAGGAAAATTCGTGGGTCGAAGTCCAAATATTTTCCAGAACTTGTTAATCTTCAGATTGGATCTTTTTGCGTTTCTGGGTTTGTTTCCAAATTGTCTCTGATAAATTTGAGGGGAAATCATTTCCCATGTCATTTCTCAAGGGATGGGAAATGGAAGATTCATTTCCCACGTTTGGTAATGTTGGGAAAGTAACCGGGAGATATCACTTGATTTCGTTTCCCATGTTTGTTTTGAGTAGGAATGGAAAACAAAGTTTGTATAAATTTTCAATTATACCCATATTAAATCAAATAAAAAAAGAATGCATTTAATGATATATTGTAATTCTAAATTGTTAATGGGGACAAAATGGTTATGAAAAATGTTTATTTAATATTGGCTAATTTTCCCAAACTTTTCCATGAGGAGGGAAAACAAAACCCAAGTTGGGAGGATGGCTTTACTTTCCCCCCTACTTTCCCATGAGCCAAGCAACGATTTCCTATATCTAGACTTACCAAACATGGGAAAGCAATTGGTTTCCCATCCCCAAGTCTCCTTTCCCATGAACCAAACGGGCCCATATGGCTAAGAGGATCTTGCACTTCGCAATATTGGCTATAATGATTAACTGCATATCTTCTCGGTTTAAGGTTTAGGGTTAAGAGGCCATGCGCTTTGAAGGAGAGGGTAATCATGATTTCTATGTGAGAAAAAGAGGCGTGATAGGAGAGAAATAGGTGGAATGGGGAGGAGGAAATGGTGAACTTGGGAGGGGGAGAAGGGGCATGGGCCCATACTAGGCCTAGGCACAATATGGGATGGCGAATGGCGAAATATAAACCAATCTCCACCTCTTGGAGAAGGTAATTGTTCCCTGAACTAAGAAATCTTAATTCTCCCCTTATAGTCAACTGACTTAGGCATTGATGTGCTCAATGACCTACTAATGTCTCTATATATTTTTTGTTTTCATGGCACAAGCTCCTTTATGAAGGAATTCAAGTTTATTCCCCACAAAGTATGTAATCAAAATGCATCCTCTAATCAAGTAAAATCTTTTCTTGTTCCAAGTTTACAATTCCGGATTCCAGATGGTCATAATGAGTATGATCATGATGTTTAATGTCTCCTTTTTTATGAATGTCTTGTGTTGGCAGGAACTATACTAACTACAGGAGAAGGCCATTCTTTGACAGCTTGGGAGCTGGCCAAATGTAGGGTTAACCATCCCTTTGTTGCCTGCAAAAAGCACCTCCAAGCCAAAGAACCAAATTCACTTCCGCTTCCTCTTACTTTCACTTTTACAGTAAAGACTTTTACCATTTGTTTGGATGAGAGAAAATAACTTGGAATTTAGCTAAAAGTTGGGAATTTAAAAGGAGAAATTAACAATTCCATTGTTTGGCAACTTAAGCGTGGAATTTATTAAATGATGTGCAAAAAAAACTATGGAAATTGGGATATTAAATTCCCGAGTTTAATTTCCACCAAAATATGCGTCATTTTACAATTTTCATAGTGCAATTTACAAAATTTTGTCATTTACAAAATTCAACATACATAATCCAAACACTGAAATCTTCAATTGCAAAAAATTGAAATGATGGAAATCTAAATTATGTCATTTTAGAATTTTATGTAATTTTCAATTCCTTCATTCAAACGGAGAGTAAGCATCTCTCAAGGTAAATGTAACTTCTCATACATTGTGCTATATATGTATGAATTAACACAATGAAATTATGATATTTTTCATCATTTGAAATAAAATACTCTAAAAATGTTTGCCTCGTAATGGTTAGTCTTGAACCAAAACTCAGATTAGGAGAAGAAGAAGAAAAAAAAAAAAAAAAAACTCAGATTAGAAAAAGAAAAAAAATAAATTTGTATTTAAACGACATGTCGTATTTTGGTGTCTTCTCTCTTCCTATGCAAGAGATATTCTTTTGGGCCATGACCCAATCCCAGCAGCTGTCTTTCTCTAGATTTTCGGCTCACAAACTTTTCCCATTCACCCAAAAACCAAACCTTTCATTTCTCACAGAGATGGCTATGTCCAGCCTTCTCTCTCCCATAACCCCTCTGCCCCTCTCTCACTGCAAACTCCTCCTTCACTCACCCTTGTTCTTCTCTCTCAAGCAACAATCTTTCCTCACTCTCACCAATATTTCAACCAAACCCACCAAGAAAATCAAACCCAGAAGACCCGTGACCACCCAATCCAAGGGTAGCGACGAGTCAGTGGATGTCCCTGACCGGTTGATCTCAGCCGTCTGTTACTTCTACCCCTTCTTTGATGGCATACAATATGGCAAGTATGTAATTACTCAGTTCACTGCCATTCAGATGCTCATCCAACCCTTGATACCAGCTATAAGGGTCTTCAAAAGCTTCCCTTTCAATGGGTTTTTGGTGTTTTTAACCCTTTACTTTGGTGTTGTTAGGAACTCCAGTTTTAGTAGGTATGTGAGGTTCAATACTATGCAAGTTATTGTGCTTGATGTGCTGCTGATTTTCCCTGATCTTGTGGAGAGAAGCTACAACCCAAAAGATGGGTTGGGATTGGATGTGCTGATGAGCTTGGATAGCACCGTGTTTCTCTTCCTTTTGGTGTGTTTGATTTATGGGTCTGCTTCTTGCTTTTTGGGTCAGGTGCCCAGATTGCCCATTGTAGCTGAAGCTGCTGAGAGGCAAGTTCCTTGAGCTATTTTTGTAGCCTATTGTTGTTTTTGTTATGCTGGGAAATGGCAACAGATAATTACATTTTGAGTCACAATTTATGTTTATGCTTTTAGCCAAAAGAGAAAGAAGCTTATATGGTAGTAGAATGTTGTTGTTGTTGTAAGGGACAGTCTCGGATAAGTATTTAAGTTAAGGATTCGTTACATACTTCTAATCTCGGCCAATACACATTTAATGAATGTGTTTTATTTGATTGAAATTGTGATTTTACATTATTTCAGGTAATGTAACAAAGTAGAAGCTGACCCTTTGTTTTTATTTTCTTTGTTTTCCTTCCCATTTGTGGAAGGTGATCTAATTCAATTAGGAAAAGTTTACTATATCCGGGAATTGCTGCAAAAGAAAAATCAAAATGTTAGCTACAATCAATGACTATATCTGGATTTCTTCTTATGTGCAGGAACAAGGAAGCATAGAAAATATTGTTGTTAGTTCTAACAAAATTCAAAATTATGGTGTTGATTTGTGTGTTCCAAAAACAAAGCTTAAAACCACAAATGCTGGAAATATTTTTCAATCATTACTTATCTTCTTATATTTTTTTCTTGCTAGCTTCCCGTAGAATATAATTGCCTTCTTCCCTACTTTCTTGCCAACCAAAGTTTAACATGTGTGCAGATGTGCAGAATTTTTTTGTTATATGTTTTTGATAAATTATTTTTGCGTATGTGTCATGTCGTGCTCTGTGGGAAGGAGGAATGCCTTCTTCCATAGCGGTGTCGTTTTCTGTCACAATTCTATAATGGACGGGTATGGGAACAAAAGGGTAATTAGTGGCTCTAATTTATCCACCACACTGAAACGCAACGCAGGTGCTGTAATTTGCCACATATTGCTAATGAACCTGAACTCTGCTGATACAAGCGGCCTAGGAGATGGTGTGGGCTTTTGTTTTCGGCGTGCCAAATTTGGGCCCAAACAAAAGTATGTAATCAAAATGCATCCTCTAATCAAGTAAAATCTTTTCTTGTTCCAAGTTTACAATTCCGGATTCCAGATGGTCATAATGAGTATGATCATGATGTTTAATGTCTCCTTTTTTATGAATGTCTTGTGTTGTTGACCTCAACTTGCAGGAACTATACTAACTACAGGAGAAGGCCATTCTTTGACAGCTTGGGAGCTGGCCAAATGTAGGGTTAACCATCCCTTTGTTGCCTGCAAAAAGCACCTCCAAGCCAAAGAACCAAATTCACTTCCGCTTCCTCTTACTTTCACTTTTACAGTAAAGACTTTTACCATTTGTTTGGATGAGAGAAAATAACTTGGAATTTAGCTAAAAGTTGGGAATTTAAAAGGAGAAATTAACAATTCCATTGTTTGGCAACTTAAGCGTGGAATTTATTAAATGATGTGCAAAAAAAACCATGGAAATTGGGACATTAAATTCCCGAGTTTAATTTCCACCAAAATATGCGTCATTTTACAATTTTCATAGTGCAATTTACAAAATTCTGTCATTTACAAAATTCAACATACATAATCCAAACACTGAAATCTTCAATTGCAAAAAATTGAAATGATGGAAATCTAAATTCCCTTTAGCCATATTGAACTCAGGTTTGAAGATGCGACTTTAGAACGCAACCACACATAAGGACAAGTTATTAAATCGTTAGCACCACATAAAAACATTTTTCCCAGAGGAGCTGTTAATACGAATAACAGAAACTCTGTTATAGTCATTTGGAAAAGGGTGATGATTTTTCCACTTACACTCCCTTTTGTTTTTAAATACTCTTTAATATATCATATAAGGGAGTATAAGTGGACAAAAAAGAAGCGAGAACAAACAATTTTCAATGAAAGAAGTGTAAGCAGATAAAAGAGAAGTGGGAAAATCAACTTCCTTGAAAAATGAAAAGATTTGTACTAGTTACACCTTTCGATTTGATGGGCTAAGCCCAATACACGACTTTGGTAAAACAACTCAGGGCTAAACAAGCCATGGGCATGAAAAATTGTGACTTGGCCCATATATATAGGAAAGATAAAAAAGAAACTGGTCTCCAGACACCCCATTTATTTGGACACCCTTCCACTATTCTTGAAAGTGTACCTACATATATTTTGAATTATAAAAACCATTAAATAATTTAAAATTTTCACACACACACACAAAATTAGTTATAGAAAAACAAATATATTGTTGCAACCCTTTTCCCCAATTGCCTTGGCTTCGGTGTTGCCTCCATCGGTTCCCGGTCTCCCCCACTGTTCATCCACGCTCCATGCAAGACTACAGTGTAACCTTATTTTTCTTGTTTGACACACAATGTAACCTTACATATTTATTGCTAATGAGAATAATTGGATATTTAGAAACTCCCTAATTTCATTGTTCGACAAGAAATAGCGCAATTCCACCTCTACTAAATAGGGTAGAAAATTCCCCAATTTCATTGTTTGATAAGAAATAAGATATTGAAAAACTCCCCAATTTCAACTTTTATGCAAGTGCAATGTGCCATGTGAAACTAGGGGTCACGAGAACAATTTCGTAGGTGGAACCAAGAGTCACAAATGTTGGAATAAGCTACCTTGAGAGGTAAAATTCACTTATAGTCTCATTTATTCATTATTATTAAGATAGTAAACTCACCTCTCCAAAACCCTAGCCTCTATTCTCTCTCTCAAACCTCTTTTGCATTGTGTGTTCTAACCCCCTCCTCTCTTTCCCTACCTACCTACTTATTTCTCCTCTTTCCCATCTACTAGATTTGGGGTTTTAATTGTGGAGGAGTTATTTGTGCCTAGATCTGTTTTGGATAACCATATCTACTTGGATATGTGGTTTTTGTTGGTTGGTTTTTCGTTGTAAGGTGAGTGGCAACAATCTAGGTGGTGTTCTCTGTCTCCAACGCAGCGATGACAATTGTGGTGACGGAAACAACTACGGTGGTGGTGGCTCCATTGGTTTTTGGTTTGTTGTTTGTTTGCATTTTTTTGTTGTTTGTAATAATTGCATCAACTCCGTGTGAGTTGAGTTTTTGATTGTTTTCTAGTCTCTACTCATATTTTGTACTTGTGAGAGTTTAGAAGTTGTAGTTGTATTGCTAGATTTGGGCACTGTAATTCATTTTTGGTTTATTTAGGCATGTGGCTTTTATGCCGAAATTTCTATGGCCTTTTGTGGCCTATATCTGGATTAACCCTGCATGGTTACTATACTTCCATATTTGCATTACCCCCTTTGTGGGTATTTGCCCTTGTAGTTATGGTCTTTGTGCCTAATTTATGAATACAACTATCGCTTTTTTATATGAAATGAAGCCATTATTTGATTTTTCTTTTCCTTTTTAAAATTTTTTTTTAATATGAAAAAGTGTGAATTTACAATATTATCCTCACCTAAAAGAAATTTACGTCCATCAAAACTAATAAGCGTTGAATTTTTATAACAAAGTCCTCCCACAATTCTCAAACCTAATTATTTGACTAGAAATTCATTTATATTATAAAATAAAGTTTATATGTTTATTTATTATTATTATTATTATTTAAAAGATAATAAATCTTAGTTGTCAAAGGATTATCGTGATTCCAACCATGCAAATTGCAAATTGCAATTGTCGGTGGAGGATCCAGCCGATTTAAGATGGTAGATACATGCCGCCGCGTGGCCTTATCTTATAGGACTATGGCCAGCCTAGCAATGCTTTGGGCTGTGTAGCAGATCGGCCCTACATTGATCTGGAAGATCACTCACTCACACAACTTCCAGCGAAACCACCCTCTCATTTCCCTAAAACTACAAAACTACCCCAGTGTTGCCTGCCGACACGTTCCAGCCATAGCCGTTGAAAATCAACGGTCATATGCACAGTCACTCAGACGATTGTCCGTTGAGGTCAACGATTTGACGGGTATTGATGGATGATCACCACTTGAACTCTGTGGTCGTGCATGCAGCAAATGATTAGGGTGAGCTGGGCCCCAAATATCTTTCTTGGTCCCACAAGTAGCAGACTTTGTAACGTGCTAGTAGCTGATTCTATGCGTGCGAGACGGTGTTTAGGGTTAATGAGAGAGAGAGAGAGAGAGAGAGAGAGAGGGTGCCTTGATTTCTGATCAAGTTGGATGCTAAAACATATGCGTGCGAGACGGTGTTTTAGGGTTTATGAGAGAGAGAGAGAGAGAGAGAGAGAGAGAGGGTGCCTTGATTTCTGATCTAGTAGATGCTAAAACCACGTGATCTGCCGCTAACGTCCTTCTTCTTTACATTATTCTTTAAAGTTTCAAACCTCTCTTTCGCTTCAAGCCTTCAGGTTATTGCCGAATTAAAAAATTTCACGCACACAAAAATTATGATGCTGCGAAAATTCGAATTTGAAACCTCTAATCTGCAAGTCAAGATCATTAGATTAGATTCTGTTGGCAGCGATTATTAAAGAAAAGAACCCAATACAACCCCTACATATGAGAGAGTATGATTGTCGAGCCTAGTCAAGTATCCTATCCTTTCTAACATGTGTTTTGAACACTTACATGTATTTGATAGACTTGTGTTTTCTATCTCGGCCCTTCCAATCTTACAATTCTAGTTCAGTCCCTGTAAGTAGCCTAACCTTTTTTCATTGAGAGTAAGCGGTTAGAGGAAACCAAAACCCCTAATCGAACCTTCTATTATTTGGTCTATTATTTTGCCATCATAAATCTCACTCCTCTTTCTTTATTAATGAATATGTACAATACATGACATTAATATACAAACTATTTCTTTTTCTTTTTCTTTTTGATATCAAGGCATGGGCACATTGGACCCATCTGTGTCACTCCCGATCCCATAGTGGTTGTAAAAGGTCCTTTTTATTTATTTATTTATGGAATTCTATATGCATAGGAATGAAAACAAATATTTTTCTTGTAACTTGTAAGGAGTCTTGTTGCATAATAGTTGAGAAAAAGTCGGAGGGCTGAAATGGTAAGAGTTGAGGAAAAGTTGGTTGGTTGATGATTTAAAAAGAAAAAAGGGGCTAATAATAATTGTTCACTTTGTAAAACTTTTAAATCTTAGAGATGCCCTCATTTCACCACATTTGTCCAACACGAAATAAAACTGCAACATATAATTGCAACATGTTTCACTTTTTCCATTACTTGGTAATAGTGGAAGCTTCTAATTCATAAGTTGGAGAAAGCTTTTGTTACTGATGCTTCGTTCACTGGAAGGGAATCTTCCATGATATT